ATGAAATCCTTTAATCGATCAACCAAATCCCTACAAAACAATACTTGGATATGATTTTATCATTCATTTACGTTCCGAGTAGAGCACAGATCTTCAGTACATGTGAAGTTCCAGTTGTGGGTGGTTGTGTTGTTTTTACGAGGTGGCGTTGCTCCCGAAATTTGCCTCTTTTCCAGGCCTTACTGTTGAGTAGTAGACTAGAACGAGTTTCAGAAGTGCATAAGCTAGAAATCGAAATGGAATAACATGCATGATTGGCAAGCATTCTAACACTGAGCAACCACCGCATAATCTTCATATGATTATGAGCAGCAGTAAGATGTGCTCAAAATATCTTCCCTAATATTTTTTGGTGGATGGTAACCAGTATTTGAGCTTTCGATGCTCATTTCTTCCATTTGCTACGCATCAGTCAGATGTATCTGCATTTCCCACTTGGATTTGAACCCAACATGCATCATTTCAAACGCTACATCAACACAGGTGGGATATTTTGGTCGAATTAATCAACCGCAAAACGGTAGTTGAAACCCACTGCACAAGAGTCTGCTCTAGTGTGGCTCAGGTGGTATAGTGAATAACGCTTTAGCCTTTGGAATATTGGCTACCGGGTTCGAGTCTAAGTGGGAACACCATCACTCTCTAGGAAATGCATTAGGGAACGCCTTGTAACCAGAAGGTCCTGGGTTCGAACGCCGGTGGGTGTGTACTGTGAAGAGTCTCAAACTGGGACGAAATAGCTGTCAAGTACTCCCTGCAGGTTTTCCAGTGGTTCTGTAACCAAGGCCAGCTCAAGATGAAATCCTGTGACCAAGTAAGAAGAATATTGTTTATGTGTTATTTCCTATAACTTCATAAATATTTTAACTAATGTTATTATTACTATCCATTGTTAATTTTAACAGACATGCTACCTCCCTCACTTTACTTCTTAGTGTATTAAATTATCTACTCGCTTGTTACGTCACTTTCCTCACCTCCGTTCACCAATAACACATAATTAAGAACATAAAGCAACAGAATTCCCATTCCCCCCGCACTGTGGGATGGTTTATTTTTCTCAGATTTGAATCTTATTTCGATGCTTACCTGATAAAGGTCTTTGAAAAGATATATATTTATATGTATATAAGAGAAAAAGCATACATAAATCCACTATTTAATTTATTTCATGTCAAAATGTCAATTTTATGGCGGTCTGTTTAAATTACCACGTTACAAAAACATCACCGATCCATAAAAATTCAATTTATTTTGTTGTATTCCACATTGTTTAAATCATATCACTGTATGCCAATCTGTACTCCTAACCATATTTTAAGTATATTTTCAAACCTTCTACTGAAGAATTTTTGGAAGGGAGTGGAGGAATAACACAGCAAGTTATTTAAAAAATGCGCTTCAGATTGAAGAACATTGTTTTGAATAATATATATTATTGACATTTGGTGGATGTCTTTTGAAAAGACACTCCTTGGGAATGGCTACTTTCCATGCCTTATAGATAAACACATAGTGAGCAAAACCCACGAAGGATCCCTATCTCTATGCTGAAAAAGATGTTATACATGAATGTGGTGTTCAACAAAGATCTTTTGGTCAACATCCTATGGAAGAGAATATCTAACGCCCTGAAAAAGAACATTCTCTGCTGCTACATTACGACTGGCATTCTCATGCCACTGATTGTTCTTCAACAACTCTAAAGACAAACTATCGCATTTGACCACTTCTATGTGTATCTACCAATTCACTTACTCCTGTGGAGTGAGACACATAGGTTGTTCGATGCGTAATTTACCTAAAAGAGCTAAAGAACTTCAGCCTGCTTTAACTGAACAAATATCCATCATCAATTTTTACTCATGTATATAAATGAAGCAAAAAGTTGTTTGAGTGAGTGCTTTGATATGATTATGAGCAGTAGTAATAAATTGTGCTGGAAACGTGGTCATCAGTAAATATTACTGTATAACAACACTGTGTGATTTTGATGTGGTTGTGTTCTCTGAGCTGGATAGTTAATTTGCGAAACTTTCATCACCCTACTAGACGCATACTTCAATTTGAAGTGAGCTTTAAGATTTCTCCACGAGTTTATTAATCATCTCTCCTGGTGGGTGACCTTGGACGTGATTGGTTGTTTTTGTGTATTGTCACTCATTGTTTCTTTTACTTGAACTTTAACCCTTTGTGTGTGAGGTTTCTTTCTTATCGGTTGATGAATTTTGTCTATCGATTGATTGATGATTCACTGGAATACTAGGCAGGCTTCTAAAAATTCTCTAGCACTTTTGTTGTTTCCTCTGTCTAATATTTGAACATTGTTCCAATAGAATTGATTTCCGTGGTTGTCTGTATATAGTGATATGAGGTAGTGGATATCATGTCTTTTGACAGCTAGCTTATGTTCGTGGATAGAGGGCCAAGACTCATTGCAGCACTCCTACCTTAAAGAAAATTGAAGAAATATATCTCATGAACGTCTTCCAAAAGAATGGATATCCAAAGAATTTCATCAAAAGACATATACCCCCAAGCCAACCTACCAAACCAAAAGCCCCCAAGGGAAGCACAAAGAAAGTCGCCCTGCCTTATATGAAGGATATTTCAGAAATCAGACTCGTCAGATCTTTTGGAATTGACGTCGCACACTAACCAACAGAATCACTTCACTCAGTTCTATGTCAACCAAAAGACTCAACAACAAAAGAAGATAAAACCAACATCATCTACAAAATAAATTGTAACAACTGCGAAAAGCACTACATTGGCCAAAGTGGACATCCCCTTCGTCTTCGTATCCACGAACATAAGCTAGCTGTCAAAAGACATGATATCCACTACCTCATATCACTATATACAGACAACCACGGAAATCAATTCTATTGGAACAATGTTCAAATATTAGACAGAGGAAACAACAAAAGTGCTAGAGAATTTTTAGAAGCCTGCCTAGTATTCCAGTGAATCATCAATCAATCGATAGACAAAATTCATCAACCGATAAGAAAGAAACCTCACACACAAAGGGTTAAAGTTCAAGTAAAAGAAACAATGAGTGACAATACACAAAAACAACCAATCACGTCCAAGGTCACCCACCAGGAGAGATGATTAATAAACTCGTGGAGAAATCTTAAAGCTCACTTCAAATTGAAGTATGCGTTCTAGTAGGGTGATGAAAGTTTCGCAAATTAACTATCCAGCTCAGAGAACACAACCACATCAAATCATCCACCTGAGCTACAAATCTTCTCCATCATATCTAACACTGTGTGATTTTATTCATAATGTAATCAAACTCCATTATGTTTATTATTATTACTCCCATAGGTTCCAAGTGGGACATAGCGCTTTAAGAGCATATCTCAATCTAACCCTGTTTTCGTCAGTTCTCTTTAGCTGACCCACTGTCGATATAAGCTTTCATCTCCTCCTCACACGATCTGCGAAATGTCACCCTTGAAGCTAACCCTAACTCGTCACTTCACACTCAGGCTTCACTTGAGTATAGCCTGGCGCCCAATGTCATTCATTGGTCTCCTCAGAGTATGTTCTTTATTTGTTGATTACTAAGTTCTTGACTGGTTCGTTGCTAATAATTCCTTTAGGCGCTTTTATCTTCAGTATCGAAGCTACGAAGGGAGGTGTTGATAAAAATCTGCAGTATCTTGTTTGGCATGCTTTTTGTGACGGGTTTCTGATCCACACTGAAGAATTGACTGATCTGACATCAGTGTTGGAAATCCGAATCTTGTTCTTAACGCTAACTGCAGAAAATTTTTTATTCTGATTTCAGAGTGATGAATACCTGCCTTGCCTCACCAATCGTGGTTGGTTTTGACATCTTCATCCGTTCCTCCTGCCTGCCTGTAGTTGAAAAGATGCTTCCCAGGTAAGTGTAAGAAATGGCCTCTTTCAGATTTATCCGGCTGATAGTGATTAGTGCCTGTTGCTGTCGGTTAATGGGCATCTTCACCCACTCCATCGTCTCTATTTTGTCTGTCTTTTCTGCCTGTTCTGTTAAATTCTTGGTTTCTACCTGTAATTCTTCGAATTTAAAGCTTAGTTATGTAGGAAAAACCATATCAGGTGTTAGTTTGTAGGCAGTGAATGATTTCAAAATTAATGGTGGAATGACTGCTGTTAGAGAATTATTGAAAAGCGGTAGGGAGTATTAGATAGCTGTTACATACAATGACGTTGGCTCTCCATCACGATACATTTATGACGAATTGGTAGTTTCTACGGGTTGATCACGGATTGATATCAGTTAGAGAAGCTGTAAATACAAAACTAACCCTTACAAACAAAACTATAGAAAATTAATCTGATGCTCGCTAGTGACTTGTTACAGGATGGAGTCTTCTGGAGTTCTAGTGAGAAGGCGTGATCAGTGAGGTCCATCCAGATGTCACGTGTGTGGATGGATGTGCCATTGATTGGGGTCGCGCTGAATCACGAATTAGTAGAAGTTAGAATTCATTGGCTGGCCTTTGAACCGTAAAACATAACTAATCCTTACAAACCAAACTATAGAAAATTATCCTAGAAAGTCAAACTTCGTCATCTAAATCACTCTGTGTGGTGATGAGGTAAAGTTTCAGTGAAAAAGCGTCAAGTGGAGGAGTTTTACACACAGAATGATTAAACTTATACCCTAGATTCCAGTACTTGTTAGAAACTTCAATGTTTTCTTTTCAATTCATCAATATTTATTCCCTTTTTTAGCTTGAATCCACGCAGTATTTGTTACAAGTATGGAGTTTTCAGCATGTGATTTAGGTAGCCCAAATTTTGCAGGCCGACTATTGATATCAGGTGTACGTCGGCCGCGGATCGAATCTCTCGGAGTATGTGCATCGTCAGCGGGCGTCCTAACCACTCTGCCACGCATTAACTAGTATTGACGGTATTTTCTGAGCGAGGGTGGCGGTAAAATACTTATAACAAGAATTCATGAAGGAGGAAATTAATCATTTGACCAATTGACTTACCGAAAATACTGCAGAATCGATATTCCACTTGTTACACTAATCATTGATATGATATAACCAACGACAAAGCATAGAAGGACTGAATACGTATGAATAGACTGAAGCACAATGAAGAAAAATCAAACAAGACAAAGTATAAAATTATAAAAATGTGGAGGAAAAGTTTAAAAAATATAAAGATTTTTCGGTGAAGTACAAGAATAGAGACCCAGCAGTGCGAATGCTCAAATGACCTTGAACGCTTGCCAGTCGTTGGTTTAGGAAACTTACCATTATTCTAGCGCGAAAATGAACGCTGTTCATGAGCTCAGATGCAAATTTCATCCAGATCACGTTTTCCAGTACTGCTTAGATAATGGATTGATAGGACGTACTCGGATATGTAGTTGTGGTGCTTCCATGAACCTCCAGTCGTATATCCAGGTCACTGACGGATATTTATTCAGATGTACGCAGTGTAGAAAGCGAATAAGTGTGCGTACTGGTAAGTGACACTCTGTTAATTGTCTTCTAGGAACTTTCTTTGAAAAGTCGAAACTGTCTTTGACCCATATCCTGTTCCTGTCCCATTACTTGGTTTTAAAGTCCGTAGTGCGATCAACTACGGCTCAAACAGATAATGTGTTGACGTCTACTTTGCAGTGGTTCCAGTTTTGTCGAGATTTAGCCTCTTGGAAAATGAATAGTATTACTCAGGTGTTGGGAGGAGTTGGTGTAGTCGTCCATATCCATGAAACCGTTCTTATAAAGAAGAAGTACAATCGCGGACGAGCTAGAGCTAACAACGTTTGGGTTCTAGGAATTTACGACACCCAGATTCGCAAAGGATTTATCGAACTTATTCCAGAAAGGAGTGCTGATACACTCCTATCTATTATTCAGAGGCTCGTCTTACCAGGCACCACCATTCACACGGATGAATGGGCAGGATATAACCGATTATCGCAGCTGGGATATATACATCATCGAGTAAACCATTCTGATGACTTCGTCGACCCCAGAACCGGTACTCATACCAATTCAATCGAAGATTTCTGGGGAAGACTGAAAAACAGAATCAGAGCTATCGACGGATCTCAAAACCAAGTTATTTTCAGTCATCTGGTTTAATTTTAAAACTGAAACTCCTCATTATAATTGGGAAAATTTTTATCTCATATTAGGCGAAAATACCCTGTTTAATGTTTTATTCATAGTTTTTTATGTAAATATACGTAAAATGTTTTGCGAAAATCCTCATTTTTCCTGATTGGTCGGCTCAAGGTCACTCGTGCGTTCGCATCCCTTGGGACTCTATTGTAGTACTTTGCTAATTTTTCAACCTCTAGTTATGCTGGGTTGCCTCTCAGTGACTGATACCATAAAAAGAGAGTGACTGAAATTAAGGCAGCACTGCATGTCTGATTCATTGTTCAATTAGTATGAGTCTTTAGGAATGCAGTGTCAGGGTTTTAAATAAAGATCATCAGTTACCAAAGGGTCAGAATTCAAAGAACTATGAATTCTAGCTTTCACTTTTTGGCAACATAACAACTCCAAGATATTTCAATAGAATCAGTGGGTGGGTGCAAACTGATGAAGAATCCCAAACTAGGATGAAACAGCTGTCCAGTATTCCCAGGTTTTCCAATGGTTCTCTAACTAATGTCAGCTCATGATGAAAATCCTGTAACCAATCAAATCCCTACAAACCAACACTTGAGAATCAGTGATTGCCTTCCCTAACTCGTAACACGATGGATCCCACCAGGAAGCAAAACTCATATTCAAGCCATTTAAAAGGAGTGGGATTATATACTTCAAGTGTTTAGTTATTCAAACTGTTTCAAGGTTTTCAAACAGCTGGTTCCTTTTATTAGTTTGAATAAAGAAAGAATGAATATATTTGCAGACAGGACAATACGAGCTCGTTTTATTTCGTGGTTTCTTCCTCTTCAACTGCGTTCATTCGAAAAAAGATCAGTTATAAGCTACAAAATAGTGTCTGAATATGCCATTTTTACAAAGATTTCAAGCTACTGATAGAGAGTATAAGCAACGTAATTTCAAAGATGATGTCAGCAGACGATTATTTAATGTTAAAAGAGTAACTTTTTATCTATTTATTTCGACAAAGGGGTGGAATTCAGATTTTGCTTGGAAACAAGCATGGACTAGAGACAAATTACAACAGACTTAGTTCATATATATTATGGTGGAGACCTCAGGAGGGTATGGGTGAATAGTGAATTAAAATTACAAAATAGATAAAATAATTGAATTTAGTAGATTGGGAAACATAATAGTGAGTTCAACTTAGTGGGTGAAAAGCCGACATCAGTTAGACAACCACCGGAAAACTGTCTCGGAGTGCTGGATAGCCGTTTCGTCCTAGTTTGGGACTCTTCATCAATACGCACTTACCGCCAGGGTTGGAACCCAGGACCTTGTGGTTACAAGACTAGCGAGCTTGTAGATCACTAAGTCACTGAGACTCGATCCAATGGCCAGTCCATTAATTCTGACTTTTGCCAATTTATGCAAAGTGGTTGCGCTGTCATGAATTGGCAAAAGTCAGAATTAATGGACTGGCCATTGGATCGAGTCTCAGTGACTTAGTGATCTACAAGCTCGCTAGTCTTGTAACCACAAGGTCCTGGGTTCCAACCCTGGCGGTAAGTGCGTATTGATGAAGAGTCCCAAACTAGGACGAAACGGCTATCCAGCACTCCGAGATGGTTTTCCGACGGTTGTCTAAATGATGTCGGCTAATGATGAAAACCTCCAAACAGTCAAACGCAATCCCTACTGAACTGATACTTGATAATATCCACATTCTCAATATAATAGTGATTTCATATATTTGGTTTCTTCAGTTCTTGTTTATCAATCGCTTAGTGAACTGTAGCTGAACTATTCTGAATTATATATTGAAAACTTTGGCCCCTGCTACTGGTTTAGGAAACCTAATTTCTTCCCTAATAGTATGAGAAAATTTCTCTAATGACAAACGTAGTTTCTCAGATTCTAGAGGAGACATATATTTCTGTTAACACAATAAACTCAATGATAACTTCTGAACTTTTTTCCATTGCAACATAGAGGGAAATCTCGACTGACATTTGACTGTCGCAGTCTATATGAACACGTCCTCCACAGAGCACAAAGACCTTGTCAAATCCAGATTGGTTGACCCTTATAAGCCAAGAAATCTGGAGAATAGTTCAGAATAGTTCATTGCATACAATTACATACAACCATACAATAAGATGAGATAAAATGACAGTTTTAAAATCTAATGTAACATGGGGGAGGGAGATAGTAAAGGAAAACGGAAGCTTTATTTATTGAATCTACTGACGGGGAATACGTCTAATAGGAATGATTCAACACCTGTCCCGAATACCTGTATGTGATATATCTAATAAACAAATTGATGTAGAATTGCATACTACCGCAGCTGCCAGGTTTTACACATAGATTAATTTAGGGATTACTGCCTGTCAGCTGCTCACACCGTGAAATTTTATACCAACAAAGCGTATCTAAAAGGGAAGGAGCATGAGTGTTGCATGACTGTAGAGTCAAAAAACAACTGTTTGCGGCTGGTCACACATGGCGTGTTTAAATTGGTTTTTGAAGTTGTGTCTAAATAAAGATCTTACTGTTGGCTCCGGAACGTCACAACATAGGTGAGTAGGTGCAGTTTTCAAGATGAACTTTTTTTAATCCCTCGCTTCAGAGCAGAGAAGTGGCATAGCTGGTTTGCTGGCTATTTGAGGGGAACACCTTACTGTTGCCACATGTTTAGTCAGCAGCAGTACGATGTCTCCCCCAGACCTCCATCTTACTGTGAACGAATTACACTATCATGGTAATTGCTTTTAGTCTGACGTCTATCTAGACGAAATTTTCGGCGAGTTAGGACCTGCAGAAACACCATTGGCTAGAGATTATTGGTGATATGGCTCAAAATTGCTCTCACTGCGTAGGTAAATTGACTCTTTGTGGTCTCCCAGACTCATTGGACTCTCATTTTTCTATTCTTTCCCCTGCATATTTCTTCTGAATCTGCCTTTTCTCTACCTTTTTGTGCTACATAGAGTGTGGTAACTAGAATTTCTGCACTTCTGTGCAAGGCATATGTTGACACTCAGTCAGCGAATCACATCATCGCTCGTATACCAGATGGGTATACTTGTGTATAGTCAACAGATAGGATTGACAGTCTTCAACTCTTCTCAGTACTAGTCCTATCTATTATGTGTCAGCAAGTTGATAACTATCCCTCTATAAGCAATATGACAATGGAACGAAGTTTAAAGATAACTGTGAAAGTGATTTTTGAAGTTGACCTTGATATAAATTTATCAAATAAACTGAATTTAAATTTTTAAACACTAAATGGTGCTTTTCACCACTCTCTGCATTTTATCACCGAAAGAAAAGGAAGCTAACAATGTTGTTGAAGGCTACTTAATCACACTACAGTTTGATATAAGGAGCCATGATACTGTAAGCACTTTTGTTTATACTGAAGGGAGCGACATTCATTATAAAAATAGGTGAATATTAGTTCAGAATTCAGGTTTCATTTACTTAATTTACCAGCCTATTGTCACGTGTCATTAAGCTATATCTTCAACCTGTAAGAAACTCATCTATCTTCAGAACTTTTAATCCCCTACCTGAAATTCAGATCCTTCAGTCAGAAAATATTTTTCTTCACTCCCTTCTGTTCTGAGTAGAATGTGGGAGCCTAAGCTATTATGTTTCAAGTATCGGCTTTGTAGGGACTTTTGTTTTATTGGTTGGAGGATTTCATCATGAGCAGACATCAGTCAGCTAACCATCGGGAATCCATCTAGGAGTACTGGACAGCTCCTTCGTCAGCCTAGTTTGGGACTCTGCTTCAGCAGTACGCACCCACCGGGGTTCGAACCCAGGACCCTTTGGTTACAAGGAGGGCTCGTAGATGTTCCAGTAGCATTGATTTTGCGGGATAGGCTTGCTAATTTCAGGTCCAACCTTCCCACTTTTCCAGGTTTACAACCAACGAAGAGAGGTTTACGAGTCCTTCGGCTGAAAATCGGACACGAACCTCGCACGTGGCCTGTGG